TTACATAGATTTATCGATAGTCTATTTATGGACTAATGGCTGGATTATAAACCACTCATCTGTTAGATCTATAAGTCATATGTATTAGAACTTGTTTATTTTACATGGCATTACTTAGTAAGGTCTCGTATATACCAATTGAATCAAGATTTCATATTTATAAAAGATTTTTATAAAGAACTTACAAAAAGAAATTCAATTATGTTCATAATATACCATGCAAACTTTCCTATCGAATTATTATTTCACTATTACTTTTATTTAATAATTCTATTTTATTAAAATTAATTATGATATTGAAAAAAGATTATATAAATTCATTGTTTTTAGAATTATAGTTCTAATATTTATTTATTGTAAGTATTCATTATACTTGTAATCAAAATAAAAAGGATCTCATAACTATATACAGATTACTTTCTAACTCGAACCCCTATAAAGAGACCAGGAATAAAGTCCACAACATCTCTTAACTCTTAACCTCCAAATGATAAAGATATAAAAGATAAATAAATAAATAATTATTCTTTAATAAGAAATAAAGAATAATGTCTCTTAGTTCGCAATAGAGAATACTAAGCAAATCTTGTAAAAAAATACATTATGTACGAATGAATATAATAAATTTAAAATTTACTGCAGTTTAAATACAATATATTTCTGTGCAATAAATGAATATTCTTACTTATTTTTGATTTATAGTTTACAGAAAATCTATTTTGTGACAGTCTAGAGCTTTCTACAACGTCTGTGGCCGCTCAATATCTAGTTCAAATAGAAGTCCATATTACCCATTCTTTATTATTAAGAATAAGTACATTGGTCCAGCGTGCTTTGGACGGCTGCTTCCACCTTTGTTACCATTCTCTAAGTAAATACGAGCGCTGAAAACGTTTTTGTTATGTCGGTAGTGTCACATCGTGAATATTTAAAATAAAATATTATGCGCCCATGTGAGGCATAGTACAAAAGGGACTGAGAAAAACTGCAATATATAAATCCTGTGATATCACGCAATTAAAAATAATGTTCTTGTTTACTATTTATCAATTTATTAAATACATATACAAATAAATAACTTGAGTTACCTTGATTTAGTTAAGACGCTAAAATACTACAAAGGCGCCTTATTGAGACATAGTACGACATCGGTTTAGAAAAAATACATTATAAATATTATTATAAAAATCCTGAAATCTATAATATAAACTAAAAATAACTAAATATTTCTTAGTTTAATATTATTATTATTTATTGATTCATAAAAAAAAAAAAAAATTTATACCTCACTTACAAAAATTATAGGATTTTACTTAAAATCTAAATTGACAATAACATATTTGTTGTGTGTCAGATTGACATACAAAAGAAGGTGCATAATATTAACATTATTATTTATATAAATTCTTCAATAATTAATTTTCTGTAATTCAAAACACTTTTCATAAATTTATACAGTTTATAAATATTGCTACCGTTTAATAAGATTTTCACTTCTTCTTCGGACAGAAGTGCTTTATCAAAAAAAAATACGCCTATGTTCTCTAAAAATTGGACATACACCAATAATATGACATATATTTTCTATTTCATGACGATTACACAAAGAACAATCACGATCAGATGTATTAAACTCTCTACCGTTCAGATTAAAAAGACCGTCTCTACATTTAAAAAGTAGACTCGATATGTGCTGAGTGTTTTCGAAATAAAAATTATGCATAATGTCATATTGTAGCTGTGGGTACATGTCATGAGATCCCGACCTAGCATTCGTTACAAAAGAATCGTGTTCCCTCCGTTCATATAAAGTTATAATATTTTTGTGCAATAATTTAAGGTCCATTCTCCTAAAACTGGTTATTGAAACACCCAGTTCTAAACACATATTTTCCCAATCTTTGGCCCAATATATACCTTTACTAATTATAAGTTCCGCTAATATTCGAGGCAGCCTTGTGGGGGGGAGATTAAGAATTTTTCTTACATATGCGAAATGTGTTTGTATTGTGTCTAAGAACTGCGTCGGTAAACCCGTTTCTAAGTGGAGCATATAGTTGGGGGTGTTAGTGGGTAGAAATAGTATCTTTTTTATAAAAAATCTAAAAAGTTTTTCCACTTGATCATAGTGTTTGTAACCCCAAACTTGGGCACCGTAAAGTACAATCGAACGTGCTGCCGAGTAGAAAATATTAAATTTATTTTTAAAAGTTATTTTAGGATTAGACAAATACTTTGCCCATGTCGAGTTAATTGCACTTATACCTAAGGAGAGTTTAGAAGTCAAATGTTTGATGTAGGAAAGGTTATACGTAATTAATAGTCCGAGATATTTCTTAGTTTAATATAAATGCTTAAATGTTTTTCGATATGTTTGCAAAAATACAAATTTAAAACAGGAAAACTTATATAGAGTGTATCAATAATATATATTAAAATATGGTATTAATCAGATAAAAAGATACAGAATTTTTAACATCGTTAATTACGGTACATACCAGTATAGTTCAGTTTAATTTTCGTAGATAGAAATTTTTATATATTGTAGATATTAGTTAACACTAGATGGCGTCTGTAATTTTTGTTAGTGTAATCTAAGTAAAAAGTTAACAAACATAAACCTAGGTATCTCAAAATGTGCGCTATATAATGTATTAAAAAAAATTGCACAAAATAGCTCATTTCATTGAAATCCATCCTAAAATCGGATATCCGCATAATCAGAATTGAACATAATCTTGCAATACCATAGACTAGAAATTATATGCTTTTGTATTTTTTTTTAATATTTTAATTTTAATATTTATTTAAAAAAATATATTAATTAATTAAAAAAATTTATACATATATTGTATATTTAATACGATAACTTTCTCTTTTAAATGTTGTTTTGTATATAAAACTCCTTATCTTATTTCATTCATAATATGATTAAGAATTTCACAATTTAAAAAATTAGAAATAACACATCTAATATATATGTTTATGTTTTTATATGTACACATACATATGTAATATTTTAATAAAGATACTGTTGCAAATTACATGATAAGAACCGATAACAAATCTTCGAGTTCAGCTAATAAAAAAAAAGCGTTGATTCGCGTCGAATTATAAAGTAAAATTACTGCTGACGATAAAAAAAATCGATTTTATAGATAAACGGATGCCAATTCGAACAGAGTATAACAGTTTTCCTATAACACATGTGGTAAGTAATTTAGTAGCCGACTTAATGAGATCGGTCGTGTTACATATTTTAATAACAATTAGCAACAATTTTTCAGGGGAGGAAATGTATAAAAAGATTTGCAATTTTGCTCGAGGCACACAATCTTCGGTGCGATTTCTTATCGACATTTCAGTGTTGGTTGAACGTTTTCGAAATTCAGATGGAAACTTTTTAGGCGGTGAAAAAAATTTAAACTAAAATAAATTTTATTTAAAAAATGTTACACATTCCTTTTTAAATGTATAAGACAGGACTTAAGTTTGTTTTATAATATAAAGTTTTCTATTTAAATTTAAAACTGTAGACAATTTAAAAGTGACAAAACAAATTAACTAAAAATAATATAAAAAAAATTATTTTTGTCTAATCTCAAATCAAAAAAGTGATTTTTGATAACTGATACTTTAAAAAAAAATAATTTAAAAAATTTTTAATAATACACAAGTGTAATTGTATATGTAAATAAAAAATTCATTGTTTTAAATATTGTCATATTTTTAATATGACAGAACCGTTTAATATAAAAAACAATAACATATAAGTATATGTTTTGCTGTAAAGTGATATTAAAATATGATATTATAGTATTAATAGCATTTATATACAAAATAAAGCAATTTATACTCAGTATTCAATTTATTTTTTAATAAACTAACTCTTTAATAAAATAAATAATTCATTTACACAAAATAATAATTATTAGTGTCAATATAAAAAAGATAAATATTAATTATGTCATAATATTTAACACAAAACTATTGTTTGAAAGTTATTTTGTTTTTAATAAGTTTTAAATATATAAGTTAAAAATTATAAAAATGTAAGTACCTTACATTATAATATAGTAAATGTACCAAAAATGCTAAAAAACAAATTTTTTTATTTATTTATAAAGAGGTTTTTCGAACAGTAGTGAATTACAACAACAAAAATTTATTTTATATTATTTTAATTAATTAAATTTTTTGGCTGTTTCGAGTATTGCTAAATACTCATCACCAGTATAATCTTTGTATTTAATTATTCGTAAATAATTTTTTGAGACTGCAAGTACTAGGAATCGAACTCGTGCTCTACCAAATTTGTATTTATTTATTTAATAATTATAACAATGTTTTCCAATGTACTATAAATATATTAAAAACAATGGAATTCTTTAAACCAATGAACATAATCGAAAGAAATGTCTAGATGGATATCTTATATCGGATGAAAAAAAAGACTAACTATGTTAAATACTTAAATAGGGGGCATAGTAAATCTCTAGATTACAATGAATAAATCGACTAATTTAATAATATAAAGCAAAAATGACAAGATTGATAGGTTCATATATATGGACTTTATATTTCATTTAAGAGCAGATATTTCTCACTTCAAATAAGAAGCATATATTATTAAATATTAGCTTCTTAAGTAAATAATTTATTTGTAAAATATTTATTAATAAAACGTAAATTTAAACAAAAAATATATATTTGATACACATTATATTTATTTAACACAATATTATGTGAAGTATAAAATCGTATATGTATTTCTACCCCAGTTTTATTCTCAATTCAAGACTTACAGTATTTGTCTATAATTTAAAAAAATTAATAAAAAATATAAAAAAAAACTTGAAAAAAAATAAAATTCAAAATAATTAATGTTATAAATTTTTAATTTAAGTATATATTTTATAAACAATTCGATACCCGACAAAGAGTAATTATATTATAGTCATAAAATTGATCAAAAAGTTATAAAGTTGTAAATTTATTAATTACGAAATAAATATTTATGGTCTACATTTCATAATAGATAATTAATAATTAAGAATTATCCAGTAATATGGAAATCAAAGAAATAATTTTATCATAAATATAAATTTAAAATATCATATTTTTTTTTTTATTAAACTTATTCAAATATTAATGCATATGTCAGTCCTACACTTTTTTAAAGAAAAAAATATGTTATATATAATAAATATGAAAATTTAATTATTGTTTGTTCGTGCCCAATAGACTACTTAAGCGCTGAATGGGTTCGCATTATATTTTCGTTACACAATGTCTTTATAAAGGCTTAGAGTCATATTTAGGGTAGTCATCAACAACAAAAAAAAAATATTAAAATTCCATTTTGTCTTACACCGTTGAATTGATCTGCATATTATTTATACTGCATAATCTCTTTATATAGTGACGAAATATTAGTCTATACTCTATATGTGTTTTTATTTACAGACAATATTTAACATAGTATGGTCATAATACTAAAAAATGTTCTAATTCAATTTTCTTCCTAACTGCTAAATTGATCTGCGTGACACTTTTACTATATAACCACCATATAAGAATGCAAAAAATACAGTTCAACATTTTTATATATTTTTTTATTTAGCATCAATATTTTGTATGGTTAGCATCAAAAAAATATAAATAAAATTTTATTTAAACTTGATACGTCCGATAGACTTTAGGTGGTACAAAATTCAACAAACAGTGACAGGTCTTTAGATGTTCAAACAGTGACAGATCTGTTTAACCAAATAACGGTTTTATAAATCCTGACAAAATTTTAAATTATTTTATTGATTTTAAAAAATTCGTTAAATATATATGGGGTTTCGTCGTATAAAATGTCACTTAAAGTAGGATAGCCAATGTTCTTTTACGCAATATTAATCCACTTAAACTGAATAGTGAAGATTCGTAAGAACATAATGTTCTGATACCATGCATTCCCATTAATTAACTAGATTACAAACCAATTCAATCTATGTGTTATAGTGTATTGATGTTCTAAAAAACCTAAAATTTAGGTAGAAAATTTAAATAAATTATAAATGATTAAATTATGTAAATTATATACATATATACTAATATATACAATAGTATACAGTATATATATATAATATATACTATGATATATACAATAGTTTACACAAAGTACGTGATAAATTATTTATTTTTAAATATTATTTGTTTTAATATACACCCAACTCTTTTTTTACACGGTAGATACGTTCCTCAGAAATCCGTGTATAAAAAAAACCGTGCAAAAGAAATGCCAAGTGTCAAACAAGACAGTGATTTTGAGACCGTACTAGATTAAAAATATTTACAAAAATAATTTTTTTTTTGAACCGTGTAACTTCAAATCCGTGTAAAAAGAAACCGTGTAAAAAAAGAGTTGGGTGTATTACATTATTACATTATTATTTTAGTATATTATTATATTAAATTTAAAATATTACATACATATATAAATATATATAATATATGAACATATAAACATATAAACACATAAATATATACATACAATATTTTGCACAAAATACATGATAAGCTATTAATTTTTAAAGACAATTAATTTTAATATATTACAATTATATACAATTTAAAATACTACATATATCATAAGTAATAATAATATTTATAAATAA